TCAAAATCAAACCCCATAAGTTTAGACACGAACTTCTGTTGCTCGGGGGTAACAATCCTTTGCTCCAATAGGTGCTTGAGCGGTTGCTGGTCGGTAATAATCTGAAATCGCCGACCTAGTAGATAAGGCCTCCAACACCGTACAACCTCGACAACTGCTAGCATCTCTTTCACGTATACTGACAGACCCAATCGAGTAGTGCCCAATGCTTTGCTGAGATAGGCTAGGGGTCGCCCCTCTTGCACTAACACAGCCCCAATTCCAATGTCACTTGCATCGGTATGTACCTCGAACAAGACATCAAATATGGGCATGGCGAGTACTGGCGTTGTTGTCATAGCTTCCTTCAGTTTTCCAAACGCTTTCTCGCTAGCTTCGTTCCATGTGAACCCGCCTTTCTTAGTCATTGCTGTTAGTGGCTTAGCGATGGTTCCATAATCCTTTACAAACTTCCGGTAGTAACCTGTAAGCCCAAAAAATCCTCTCAACTGTGTGAGACTAGTTGGCTTAGGCTAGTCGACCATAGCCTCAATTTTTCGTGGGTCGACCTTCACACCGTCATGTGATATGAAATGTCCAAGATATTCAACCATCTCCTGCCCGAATGAACACTTGGACGGTTTGATGTGGAATGAGTTGGCCTCCAGAATTTCAAGCACTACTCTCAGATGCCCAAGATGTTCGTCCCATGACTTCGAATAAATCAGGATATCGTCAAAGAATACCAGAACGAACTTACGCAGATACTCCTTGAAGATAGAGTTCATGGCGAACTGGAAAGTGGATGGGGCATTGCATAAGCCGAATGGCATAACCAGATACTCATAATGCCCCTGGTGTGTACGAAAGGCTGTCTTTGGGATGTCGGCTTTGTGAAGTCGAATCTGATGGTAGCCAGCTCTTAAATCGAGCTTAGAGAAATAGCGTGATCCGGCTAACTCATCAAGCATATCGTCGACACTGGGGATTGGAAATCTGTCCTTGATGGTTGCAGCGTTTAGAGCTCGGTAGTCAGTACAGAATCTCCACGTGCCGTCCTTCTTTTTAGCCAACAGAACTGGAGAAGAGAACGGACTCTTGCTATGCTGTATGAGACCTGATTCAAGCATCTCGGCCACTTGCCGTTCGATCTCGGTTTTCTGAAAGTGAGCGTACCTATAAGGGTGGACATGTATGGCATGCTGTTCATTGACCAATGGTATGGGATGGTCGAACTCTCGATGCGGGGGTAGTCCTTTGGGCTCGCCCAGTACTCCTTCAAACTCTTCGAGAAGCTCACGCACATCTCCCTGTTGTTGTGCGTCCTTGCTCGAGTGCGCTCCCATATCCTCGACCACTACGGCAAAGATTTGGCCCCCACCACGCCAAACTTTCTCGATGCTCTTCAACCCTACTTCCTTAGCTTCTTTTTCAGTGCTGGTGCTGAGGGTGACCTGACGACCTTCGGAATTGAACTCCATAATTCCGTTCGATAGTCGGTCGTCACCTTGCCTAGTCCTTCGAGCCATTGGACGCCCAATACTACATCTGGTCCAACCAGGGGTAAGGCATATAGATCAGCCTTCACCGTAACTCCGCTAAACCTGATCGGCACCTTCCGGAGGGACGTCGTGCATTGCAGCCTCTCCCCATTGGCTACCCGTACCTCAAAAGGTTAAATATTCATAGTTGGAAAATTCAATTTTTGAGACAACTCGGCGTTGATGAAATTGTGGGATGACCCATTGTCAACTAGCACCATCACCTTTCGCTCCTTGACCCACGCTGGCAAGCGCATAGTCCGAGGACCTCGTATCCCGGCCATAGCGTGCATCGAGATTTCAGGCTCATCACTGAAGACCTCAATCTCGTCGCCCTGAGGTGGTTCCTCCTCGACCTCCACCTCCTTGTCGTCCGGGTTGGCCACCTCAATGACAAAGGCTTGCTTGCACTGATGCCCCGGGGTAAACTTTTCTTCGCACTTAAAACAAAGACCCTTCTCACGTCGCCGTTTGACTTCCTCCGGCGATAGGTGTCGTACTAGTGCCCCCACGGGTCGTGTATTGACCGCAAGCCGAGCGCCCGTGGGTACTTGGCTTGGGCCCGCGCGACGTGCGTCGGGAATCCGGGCGTCCGTCCGTCCCCTTCGTGTTGCAATCAGGTGATCCTCCCGTCGTCGGGCCACTTCCATCGCGTCATGCATGGTGTCGGGCCTCTAGAGCCGTACTTCAGTAGCCAAGTCAAATTTCAACCCGCCGATAAACGCGCCAACTAGGGCCTCTTCCGGCCAGTCGCGCACGCGGCAAGCCAATCGTTCGAACTCCCTAATGTATTCGCGCAGGCTGCTTGTTTGCCGTATGCGCGTAAGAGCCTCATTGTAATTATGATAATCGGACGTACCAAATCGCGTAAGCAACTCTCTCTCTCAAAAACATCCCAAGTGATAATTTGCTGGCGCTTGCGATAGATCCTAGTGAGCCATTGCCACCACACGTTGGCCTCACCATCAAGATAATAAGCCGCATACCTCACGCGATCGGGACCATCGGTTTCATTAAGCTCGAAATATTGTACCGCCCTGTGGAGCC